TTACACAACTCTGTCTCCCAATTCAGATTTGGGGGAATGGTTAGTGTAAAATGCTGGGCTTGGGGATTCTGATTGAATCCATGTCATGGCCCCAAATATAGTACAAAATACAAAAATATCAAGAGTATGCTGGGACTTTCCTGGGTGAGACTCTGCACTTCCACTGCTGGTGGTGTGGGTTTGATCCCTGGTCAGGGAACTAAGATCCCACATGCTTCCCAGTGTGGGAAAAAAAAAAAAAAAAGAGTGTGCTACATGCTCTCAGAAAATATAGTAATACAAGACCAAAGTGGGGAATTGTGGATTCACTGGTTTAGAGCCCACTTCTTCACAAATTAAGAACACAGAGAAATGCCTACCATGAACATGCTTGGCAATTATGGTGCACCCGTAAATGATAAAAGCTACTTTGGCATTGATTGGCAGGAAATGATGTGAAGCATGAATGAAAACTCTTTTTCAAGGAATAACTTATAATCTTACTTTTATCTTTGTTTGCAGGCATCCATGCCACTCAGTTTTTTTCCTCATTTCCTTTATGGATAACTAAGGAAGAGTTCTGGAACAAGGTATTGATTTTTATGATAGTTAAAAAGAAACCTGGATGACAAATTACTTTGTATCAGAAGAATTAAGGTTTAAAAAATGAAGCTAGAAAAGACTCTAGGAGAAAGATTTTTATAGATTTTGAAGGGAGATATAGAGAGGAAGCTTCAGATAAAAATGCAGTTACTTATATTAATTTAACCATGTATTTATTCAAGAAACATTTATTAAGTCCATACTGTGTTGCAAGGATTGTGGGAAAGTATAGTGTAATGGGAAAAAAATTATTAAAGATTTTAATTCTGGTTCTTCCACTAACTGTCTGCTAACCAGGAGTAGGCCACTCTACTTTTATGAGCACTAATTTTCTCATTTGTAAAACAAGAGTGAAATAGATATCTAAGTATCTTCCAGCTCTGAAGCTCATCACTGAATTTTTCATTTTTCAGTCAGATACTGTGCCATATCATACATGTAAGCCCATGGGTCTGCAGATTGTTGCTCCAGACACCTCAAACTGAATAGGGTATTTCCCACTCTCAAAATCCAGTTTATAGGGGCTTCCCTGGTAGCGCAGTGGTTAAGAATCTGCCTGCCAATGCAGGGGACGCAGGTTCGTGCCCCGGTCCGGGAAGATCCCACATGCTGCGGAGCATCTGGGCCCATGAGCCATGGTCGCTGGGCCTGAGTTTCCAGAGCCTGTGCTTCGCAACGGGAGAGGCCACAACAGTGAGAGGCCCGCGTACCGCAAAATAAATAAATAAATAAATCCAGTTTATATCATGAAATTACTCTGATATTAGTCCTCAAATACAAAAATGTTGGAAGAATGAAACACCTAATACTTAGAAAGGGGGCACAAAAAAGAGATACCTCAGAATGCAAACAGTAGAACCTCATATCCAGAACGAAAGGTGCACCTCCAAATTTAGCACATGAATTTGACAAAACCCCATGTGTTTCATGAGACCCTAGTCCCCCAGTAACTTCCAGAAGAAAAAAGTCTGGATGAAATGAGTCTAAGACATTCTCTATGCTACTAATCTTAATGGTTCAGGAATGACAGTTGTAAAAATTCTTACAGTTAAAAAAAAAGTTTAAAGTTTATTTTTCCAAATTTATCTAAGCATATGACTGTAAAATCCAATTTAGAAAACATTGCAGCAGGATATTAAACAAAGATTTTGCTGAATTTTTTGAATTTTTTTTAGGAAAAAAACCTAAGGCATTTAGGGCTAGGACATCAAAGAAGATTCCATACTGTAGCCTACACAGAAAGGCACATAACCAGGAGTGTTCTTGGTTGTTAAACTACCAGCATCCCACAAACTTCAGTACTTGTGATATGAGTCAAAGAGAAGTCAGGTGAGTGCCAAATGCCTCTTATCTTTCAGGGAGAACAGACTGTTTTAATGAGTAGCTACTAGTGCAAAGAACACAGATTTTTGAAGTCTAGATACACAGTACAATGACTACAAAGTTCCATGGAAAGGTGATTTTAGATATAATTGGATTGGATCTTGGTTCTTATCTTTTATCAAGCATATGTTCTCAAACAGTTGAAGGGTAGATTTCCAATTTTCTAGCTCAAAGAGGGATCTGTACAGGAGAAAGTGAGGCTTGGGCCTGGCCAGAAGAGCTGGCAGCCTCTTCTTGGGAAGTAAGGAAGTAGAAAGCAAATTTCTGCATCTACGATATCCTTTCTACCCAATCCGGTTTGGGACAGCAAAACACGCATCATGTTTCATTTTGTGAATCACTCCAGCAGAGCCGTTAACAGCCTTTATCAATACTTAACCCAGAGCAGAAAAACGCCACCAGGGGAGACCAAAGCATGGCCAGGGCAGAGCTGAACCACTCAGAAGCACCCAATTAGTAGACAAATTTGCCCCCATCATGTCACTACTCTTGCAGAAACATGATCTCACATCCATTTTACCTAACTGAATTTTTTGGACCCAAGTTATCACTTACTGGTGAAGTTTTACTAGATATAAACTTAACATTCATGATAACGAGCTCAGTGGCCATGACCACACTGACCAACTTCTCTGGAAAGAAGTTTCTTGGATAGTTGTTTAATAATCACGTCCTGGCCCTTTGAATCATTTTGGAATGATTCTCCTGCAAAGATGTAGAAAAACTGATAAACAGTGTCTTAAATAAGAGGAGCTAATTTTTCTCACATAGGAAAAAAAAAAACAAAACCAGCTGCTACTGCTGACACTGAATACTGTTTAACTAGCTCAATAATTCAGGTCCAGGATATCTATTTTTTGGCCTTTCCTTCATGGACACAAGACTGACACTACAGCTCAGGCATCATTTCTACATTCAAAGCTGGATGAGGGTAAAGGATAATATTAGCCACAAGTGTCACTATTACCACTGAAAGCAATAGGCTTACCAGCAGGTTTCCACAGATTTTTACTTCAGTCCAAACTATCACATAGTCAAGAGGGAGTCTAGGAATGCATATATCAAAAACCAGGAAAGCAAGGATGGTCAAAGGGTTCAGAGCAGCCACAAAGAATGACATATCCCCTCTGAACATAATTTCACATTCTATGGTTATAATTACAGAGACTTACAAAAGTATAAAAGCTGAAGACAACTATCTAAATAACCCTATGACATTTCTTTCTCCCTGGCAAAAAAGGCGGGCTTTTAAATTTCAATTTAAAGCAATGTTGTTGGTGTTTTCCTACTTAAATGAGTTGTGAATAACATTGATTTACATAAAGCAATGTAAATCCTTAACAATGTCAATCTCCATTGATGAAATCTCTGTGAGGAATTGCTGATAATTTAATTCAAATCCAAGGTTTCTTTCTTTGCTCATGACTGTATTTCGTGACGTTTCTAGGGCATTCTCAATTGCTTGTTGCTTCAGTATGATGGTCGACAACACCTCTTTTACTTTCAAAAGTGTTCTGGCTTAGACAATAAATTATATGGTCACCTGATCCACTACTTTATGTTAAGGCTTTTCAAGTTTACATTATTAGAACATATCATGACCCTGAACTACAGAACTCCATTGAGAGAAGCCTACATGATATCTCCACTGAAAAGCTCCACCAAAAACTCAACTATGCCAAAGAGAACTTGTGCCATGAGTTCAATGGTTCTCACCAAGTCTTCTTTCCCTTAGTGAATATCAGGGAGGGGCCTGAAAGATTGGACAAGGGACCCAGCACTTTCCTTTAAGTACATGCTTGAACTGCTGACTTAGCTCCATTTCCGTGCACTTCCAGAGTGTCCCTACCTATAAGATAGTGAAGAATGGGCAACCAAGGTTAGCTTCATGCTAGACATTTCAAATTGGGATTGCCTGATATTGGAAAAGGAGGCAATAAAAGAAAAATTTTTGAGAACATATTCATGCTCCAACCAGGATCACTCAGATAATTTGAAGAAGTCAATTTAACATGACTTTCTCAATTGGGTTTATGAGAACCACAGATTCAGAATTAACCCCAGATTCAGAATTAGAAGTAGATATACAACAAGCACAAGAATTACAAGAAGTTAGAACTCTTCCTGTGTCTCTTTTCTAGAGCATTGAAGGCAGCCCTGTACTTTTGTGGTCCCTCTGCTAACTCCTAGCCATTCCCGCTGTTAAGACAGCAGTGTGAGAGTAAAATCAGCTCACAGAGCAGAGGAAGACGCTCCTATCAATGAGCATCTATCCACCAGGAAAGGCAGAAACAAAAGATTCTTCTTTGCCCTCACCTATTACCCCCGCAGGTGAGCCACCACTTTATCCTAACCATTTACTCCTCATTTGTCTAAACTCACAATCTCTCACCAAACAACTGTAAGAGCCTCCTCACTGCCCTGCAACTATCCCACCCACCAGATCAGAGGGATATTTAAAAATAAAAATTAATTAATGTTATTTTTCTGTTTAAAGCTCATCAATGATTTCTCATTGCTTTCAGAATAAAGATCCAAATTTTACAATGGCCTACAAGATTCTTCATAAACTGGTCTATGTCTATTTCTAAATGATCATTTTAAACCACTTTCCCCATATTCACAAACATTTTACTACATTGGACTTTGTTCGGTTCCTTGAAAGCACCATTTTCCCTTCCATCTTAATATCCTGTTCAATCTGCTTCAAATAGTCTCCATATCTTCTTTGACACCTTCCATCTTTCAGACCTTATCTCAAACATCATTTCCTCAGGGAAACTTTCCATACACTTCAAGACTAACTCTTTCATATGTGAAATATACTCTTGTACCTCATAAATTTTCCTTTGCAGCACTCAACCTAAAGTTTATAAGTTTATACTACTGTATGACGATATGATCACAAATTATCTCTTCTGCTAAACTTTCTTTTCATTGTATCGCTAGCATAGTGGCTGTTGCATAGTATGTTTTCAATAAATATTTATTAAATACTTGAATGAATATCAATATAATACAGATAACATGTCATAGTCTTTATTGCCAACAGACATTTCAAGTGAAAGTCATCCTTCTAAAAGATAACCTTAAAGGGTAAGATTATTATACTACACTGGACTATCTACCCCAGCCCAGTGTGGCTTAAGAAATTAAATCATTCTTCTTTTATGATGGTTTAATAAATAAGTTTAAGTAAATATTAGGTCATTGGTTCATATAAGAACAAAATCAACATGGTGCTACACATGAAAAACTATTATACATAATGAAAAAAAAAACAACTAGACACTCTTAATTGTTCAACACTTAATTTAGGAGCCAAGCAGGGGAAAAAAAAAGGGGTTAAAATTTATTGGCTCAGTCTACTACTCTGGACCAACTAGCCTAAGTCACTTACAGTTCTCTAGAGATCCAGTAAGCATTCATCAATTAAAGAAAATTTTTTAAAAAAATTAAGAGAAAAATATAACTCGTCAAAATGACTATTAATTTCAGAAGTATAACAAGCTACTTATTCAGCCTCAGCTTGATACCTGGTGAATAAAACTGATTGGTATGTTACTGACCATAGTTCACATAATGTGGCAGCTTGAGTCTCAAAGGTCCAAGATAAGGACTGTAGAGGGTTCTAATGTCAGAGATTGCAGTCAACAGTTTTCTTGGGGGGCAGTGCTGCGAGGTCAACTTCAATTGTCAAGCTGAAAGAAGTTACAGTGACAAATATGAGTCGAGTATTCTTATTTAACAGAGAGGATTTAAGTCTATTACCTAGACATTAGTGCTGTTGTAAAAAGTTAACAAGTAAATTAAAAATTGCTTCAATTATATTTATTTTATGTTCCTAAAATTTTAATACAGAAAAAACATTCTACTTTGAATATGCTATTAGTAGCCATAGAAATTCTATATTTAATTAGATTCCATCATATCTTTAAATTATTTTAAGTATAAGAAAATGAGAATATGTTCATTATTGAATGAACATATAGTGTTCGTCATAATTTGGTTTATCATTCATGCTGTGTTTATTAGCACATATAGCTAACTAGAACACACCTTTCTGCTTTTGAATACTGTTTATATTTTGAGGATTAGATTTTAAAATTAGAAACCTGGAAAAAATTTAAATTAGTAATTTGTCTACCAAAAATGTGTAAAAATAAAACCAATTCTTTCCAGCCTGCTGATACAGCTAAATAAAGGTAACTCCTACATTGAAAATCATTCCATTTGTGTTTTAGCATAAGTTTGTAGTAAAATAAAATCAAACTCAGGCTTAGCCATTTATCATATTTAGGTTATAAGAATATGTTCAATTCAGTGGTCATTAAGCTTGACCTTAGGTAGCAGTTTTTGCAAACATATCTCTAATTTTGAAATCTTCTGGAAAGAGCATATGAATCAATAATAATGAATAAAATAAAGGAAGTATGTATGTACTCTTCAATATTTAAATTAATAGTGAATATTATAAATAATATAAAATTATTACTGTGGATGTTTCTCTTCTACACTTGCCACTAATTTTTACAATTTCCTCATCCCTGTTAGTAAGAATATTAACCAAATAAGTATCAACTAAAGAGTGAAACTCAGTAAACTTGCACAGGGATTTGCAATTGTTGCAGGGGTGTGATGTCTCAAAACCAAAAACCTAAGTAATCATTAGCAACATGAATACTAAGGACCATCATCACCTGAGCCTCGTTTCCCAATAAAAATCCTGGAAAGTTGAGAAAAGGGCAAAGAAAATGTATATGGAGAATAGAGATGGGAGGATAAAAAGTTAAGAAAAGGCAAATTTTATAATACAAGTGATGAAGAATTTTTACTCTAAATGAAAACTCTCCTCCATATATGATATTTTGGAATTATCTTCAGCCAAAAAAATGCCAGGTGTATTAAAAAAGATTTTGTAGTTAATAAACCAAGGAGTGATTCTAAGTACCTTCCCCACTGTAACCCACCTTAAAGGAAATCTTGCCAATAATTGTGTAAATGAGACTTTTCCTAACAGTTGATAGAAAGATAATTACCTAACAGGAATTTTCAAAGTTATAAAGGCTCATAGTAGTTTAGAGTAATCTTATTAAAAATCAAATTCACGACATCAACAGATCCTTCCTGTGCCATGTAATTACATTACAGACACTTAATTGAAATAAACTGGAAATGAAACCTGGCCTAGCACAGGCATGCACTGATGGTTAAGACTCAGCAGGGTGGTACCAGTTCATTAAACGTAGTCTTCACATATGTCTGCCATCACATTTTAAGAAAATACTAAAAGTAAGGACATCTGTCTGCCCATCACATTTTAAGAAAATATTAAAAGGACACTAACTCAATTAAACACATATATATATAAACACTTAAATACAATTTCTCTTATAGAGGTAAAACACACTTGAAAACACTGATATAGATAAAAGGAGTTTATGACTTTATGTGAAAACTAGTTTTCTTTTCTCATAGTTACTTAGAGACAAAAAATTACATACCAGAGAATTAAACATTCCTAATGACAATATATGAATTTATACAAAAATAATTAACAAAAAGTCCATATTACAAAAATGTCTAAGTCTTATGCTTTGGTTCTTAAAGTGCTGAGAAGTGACCATAAGCCTGCTCAAACTCCCAGTGGCATCTTAAGTACATCATCAGTCACTGAAAGGCTGGAGCCAGAAGGTCAGATGGTACTTGGGTTAGCATATTGTTGCTAACCCAAGTACCATCTACTCTGGATTCTGAAAGCTCCTTAGGAAAGCAAGCCAACTAGAATTTTCTCATATTGTTCCACCCAGGGGAATAAATTTATCTAGGCATAAATTTTATAAGTTGTACCTTAAGCTCAAATAAACTAACCCGAAAAGTGATTTTCTGCTTGTGTGTCTGTGGCATTGGGCACAAGGGATCAGGTCAACCTAACAAGTGGACAAGTATTTGGGAACAGCTCAAGTATATTTATTAATTAATAATCATTTATTTAACCCCTTTATATAAATGTTGCACAATCCAAACAAAGAAATCCCTGCATGGGAGCTAAGTGGCCCTGGGCCACTGGGCCTAGCAGAGCAAGGCTGGTACCTCAAAGCAGGTGGAAGATAAGAGGGGCAGCTGCAGCATCAGCTGCGAAGGTGAGAAGAAAAGACCCAGCCACAGGCCTCCAATGACAGTGCAGGCCATGAAAGGGATTCCTTACCTCCTGCAAAATTTCTGGGAATGGAGTACTAGGAATTTTATAACATGAAGGAACTAAATTCCAATTTTATTGTTTTTATATTTAGATGAAGTAAGTTTAAGTTAAATATTCAGTATGTTCTATGTTCAAATCACATTTCTCATATCTATAAATTTCAGAGAAAAAACTTAACATTTTTGGTTGTATATAAAAGCAACACGTTTATACTGTATATATACTAAAAAAAAATCTTTTAGATATAGTAGCACAAAATTACTAACAAGAAATATCTAGGGCTTCCCTGGTGGCGCAGTGGTTGAGAGTCCGCCTGCCGATGCAGGGGACACGGGTTCGTGCCCCGGTCCGGGAGGATCCCATATGCCGCAGAGCGGCTGGGCCCGTGAGCCATGGCCGCTGGGCCTGCGCGTTCGGAGCCTGTGCTCCGCAACGAGAGAGGCCACAACAGTGAGAGGCCCGCGTACTGCAAAAAAGAAAGAAAAAGAAATATCTAACATCTCTCTTGGACAAACCCTAAGACAAAGGTTTTTCTTTGGCATTGACTGGCTAACTTGTAGTGAAGAAAATATAATAATTTATGACAATCATTTAAAAACTTTTATCCTTCTTAATAAAGCGTGGACTTAAAATCTTTACAATAAATTTGCTAAAGCATTTTTCTTTCATAAATACACATTTTTCATATAATCCTTACTTTTAAAAACTAATACCAAAGGGGACTGCCTAGTTCACTTATAACTGTTTGAATTCATAGTTGGTTTGATTTGGCAGCTCAACACTGAAACATAATGTGAAACATAATTTTTTTTTTTCTTTCTGCTTGGCCTTCTGTAGAGTCGAATTCATCCTAAATTTGGTTTTCCTTATTGAGACAAAATGGTCAAAGTAGTCCTCTGAATAAAGGCACTTTCCAGAAGAAGAGTTTCTGTATTGTAGAAGATCCAGCAAAAGTTGTCAGTTTAGTTCTGATCACACCAGCCCTGAAAGCATTCCTGTGGCCAGAGAAATGCCATGTGCCAATTGGCTAAAGCCTAGGTAACTAAACTAATCACCATGGAAAGAGGTGAATGGGGCACTGGCTTTCACTAATCAAGGACCACTGGCGTAAAGTCAATTCCATCCAAATTTTAGTGTCTGCGCTATAGTGAAGGGGTCGAATAACAGACACCATTTCATGTCTACACCAAAGCTATTTCCTTCCTTCTTTCTAATCAGACTTCATTGCTGATTGGAGAGCAAACAGAGATCCCTTGATCTCAGGCATGGGATTGTGACCTAGATCTGGCCAGTGAGATGTAAGGGTACATTTATAGGAAAGCTATTGCCTGTTTCCTCCCTTTCAACTCAATCACACGTGGATGAGGATTGGAGTAAAATGTTGAAAATATCCAAAGAAAGTCCATAAAAAATGTAGATATTCCCCCCCCCCATGTCATTCTCTACTCTGAAATTGCTGTGCCACTAAATGCAGCAACTGAAATGCCACTTTGCTACCGAATGTATGACCCTGTCATCACTGCCAAGTCTGTGTGGCCTGGAGAAGCACAGACTACAACACGTTGGCACAATACAGAAATAAAATGAAGATGATAGATGTATGCTGATAAAATGCAAGCTCCAGTCAAGAATAAGTATCAAAAAAGAGTGGGCTAACTTTCTTGAAAATTCTGGAATACATGTACTTAAGGGCTATATAACTTTCGGTGAAAAAGCAGACACACTGAGGCCAGCAGAAACATGGGGGTTAGTGCAATACTAATGGAAAAAAATAGTATTGAAACATCCAAAATTTCCTTCCCATCCCTGTCCCTTTAGAAAAACTTGTTCTGTCTACTAACCTGAAGAGGATGGCTCCATATATTATATAATGACCTCATTCTTCAGGCCTGGGCTGGTTGGACCTGAAATGGGCAACTGACCTAGAATGAGTGAATCCATTGGCTGACTCAAATGAATAGTCAATTATTTTTTTCAACTCAAAAATATGAATAATGAATTTGAGACTCTGAAAAAGTTAAGGTTAAACTACATTAATGTTAGAGTGGAAACTACAGTGAAGGTACAGAAGCTCCTGCTACTTACGGCATAGATATATGCTGATTCTTTCCATTTCTGAGCTTTCTCTATATCCATTTATCCCATAATTTCATGATATCCTTAACTTATAATGAGTACATGAAATACTTAGTACCTTCTTTTTATCATTGATAGTTCTTTTTAACCACATCTCTACAAAGACTTTGAGTATGACAATTCCATCATTAGAAATAGGTATGTCTATCTTTTTTTACCTTTTTATTATGAAAATGTTAATATATACAAAAGTAGAAAACATAAATAAATGAACTGTCAGGTACCTATCATTCAGCTTCCATAATTATCAACATTTTAGGTAGTAATTTTTTATTTACTTTAAAAAATTATATTAGTTGGGGGTCATCCTGAAATATGCATTCTTTACAAACTTGAAACTTTGGGGGGTTAATTTATTATCAATTAGCAAGATAGTCTAAAAAAATCTGACTTTTTAAAATGAATTTTCGAATTTTGCTTTGCTAACGAAGTTATACTTACACACATTAAAAACAAACAAACAAACAAAACATGATTCAGCATTTTTAGGTAGGTTGCTATTTTGTAGGTAAAATATAATGTATCTGGTAATGTAAATGATACATTTTTATTTTATTTCCATTAATTAATTGTTAAAACAAGTTACTGTATACTCAGAGGGTATTTATTTTCTATTAAACTTGATTCTCACCTTCTTTCAATACATTTTTTAAGAAGATATTATTTGCAATATGTTTTCCGGTTTTAAATGTTTTATAGTAAATTTTTTGAAGTTTTATTTTGTATTATCTACATCTGTATGGGGCCTTAAGCACTTTGCAGTTTGGAGTGGATAAAAGCATACAATGAACAACATTATTATTGCTAAATTTTAAGGCATCTTTTTAGTATGCAAGAACCAGAAGTAAATCTCTCTCTTGTTCTATGTATTTGCCCAGCAGCCTTCTGGAATTAAGTATATAATAATTTTGCAATCTCACACTTATGCACATGCAATTACATAAATTTTGGGAAAAGTACTAAGTAAGGATATCAAGAAATAAGGATTTTAATAACACTAAGAAAGCATGCATGCCAATCCAGGATCTGCTACAAAATAGCTGGTGATCTTGACAAGTCATTTGGCCTCCCTGGGGCTCAGTTCTCTTATTTTTGAAGTGTGCAATTTAGACTATTTACATGACATTTAATTTTCTTTCAATTCTAAAATTTGATGTCTAGCTATCTTTTTTATAATGAACAAATAGACCTTTTTCTTTGTTAAATACCATATTGAAAGTTAAAGGAAATCTTTCCTCCTCTTCAATGATTTCACTCATAGCTTAGAAAAAAAAAATTTTTAATATTTATTTATTTTACTTATTTATTTGGCTGGGCCAGGTCTTAGTTGCAGCATGCTGGATCTAGTTCCCTGACCAGGGATTGAGCCCAGGCCCCCTGCATTGGGAGTACAGAATCTTACCCACTGGACCACCAGGGAAGTCCTAATAGCTTAGAAAATCTGAGCTTCAGAATGATCATTTGTAGTATATGTACTTAAGAAATTGATGCTCTAGTTATTTAAACATTTGGATTTGGACAAAATGTTCTCTTCACTCTTGAGATGCTTTAACCGCCAAAGTTATAAGATCTCAGCAAAAAATAGAAAACTATTTTGCAAAGATTACCTCCTGCTTTAGAAGAGGGTATCTTAGATTACTTCAAAAACAAGGGTCTAGAGTTATAATAATTATTCCATGCAGGCAATTCATAGAAAAGAGCTGGAGTTAAAAAAAAAAAGTTCAGGTAAACCTATTTATCTTAACATTTCATTAAATGTTAATTTGTGAATTTAACAGGAAAGTATCTTTCAGCCTTTATAGAATTTTGTTTTTGTTGTTAAATAAGAAGCCTTAAAAATGTCATTTCATCTCCAGTGAAAAGTGGATCAATATCTAGATATGTGCTGTGCAATGTGGTTCCACTTGTCACCTAGATTACTGACACCTTGAAATGTGGTTAGTGCCAATAAGGACTCAGTTTTTAAATTTTAATTTAATTTAAAAATTAAGGAAAAATTCTTTAAGTATGTGTGAAGCAACTTGTAGGCATGGTTCCATTTTTTCAGTTATAAATTTTATGAAGTCAAAATACAGATTAAGTATTTCTGAGTAAAATTTAGTGCCTTAATTGCAATGTAGAAAATGTAAAATACCCCAAAGGAAAAAAAAGTGCAAAATATACCATGTTAAAAAATTGACTACAGGGGATTCCCTGGTGGCGCAGTGGTTGAGAGTCCGCCTGCCGACGCAGGGGACACAGGTTCGTGCCCCGGTCCGGGAAGATCCCACATGATGCGGAGCGGCTGGGCCCGTGAGCCATGGCCACTGAGCCTGCGCGTCCGGAGCCTGTGCTCCGCAACGGTAGAGGCCACAACAGTGAGAGGCCCGCGTACTGCAAAAAAAAAAAAAAAAATTGACAACATGTTGTAATTATAATATTTTGGATATATTGGTTTAAAATACATAATTAAAATTAACTTTATTCCCTTTTAGTTTTAATGACTACTAGAAAATTTAAAATTGCTTATGTGACCCAATCTATATTTCTATTAGACAGTGCTGGTCTGGAGCATCAGGTCATTTGAAGAGAATATTTTTTAAGCAGCATCAGTTCTTACTAACTTTACTTACATAACATTCAATTCTGGGAGTGATTGAATAAAAAATAATGCAGAACACCTGAGCTTAGATGAAATTATTTTTGTTCATCAGAAAAACTAATTAGAAGTATTTGAGGTTTTGTTTCTATCTCTAGAGAATAAATTTAGAATCACTAGCTGAATTTTTAAAAATATATCCAGAATTTTAGAATTGGAAAACACTTTACCTTATCCAAACTGTTAATTTTACTCAGAAGAAAGTGTACTTCATCTTGTATTTCCAAGGTCATTTAGAAAGTTTGTGGTCAAATAAGAAGTAAAATTTCTAACTTGTAATCTATTTTGCCTAAGAGTAAAAAAGTATGAGGGAATTAAGTATTTAAAGAATAATTTCAAGAAAAAAACTATCTAGCAAAGCTCATCAAAAATGTTTGTCTTAAGATTCTCTGAAAGTCCTTTCTGTACATAAATGGTCAAAACAACAGTTGATTTTAAAAAAAGAAACATCTTCCTTTCAAAGATGTTTTACTTATTATATAATTAACCAGTGTTCTTTCTCACTTTTCTCAAGTCTTTTTGAAAGATGTAACCCTACACCATAAGAGCCAATATTTAATATGGTTATCCATTGGAATATGAGTGGCCTACAAAGGGTTAAGTTTGGGAGCAAACTTAAGGCCAAACTGAATTTAAAAAGTTGCTGATGTCAAGTACCAAGTCTCCTGGGGAAACAACATACTGGCTGCACCACTGACTTGCCAATTAATCCAAGGAGCTGCATGGCCATTAGTTCAGGAAAGAGACGCTTGCTTGCCCTCTTGCCTAGAGGTAAGAGCTAGGTTTGCAGCTGCCAAGCAGCAGGATGACAGAAATAAATGGGGAGAGAGATTAGGACTAAGGATCTAAGTATTTCATTTTCTTCACTTGGCTTCAAAGGAAGACCTCAATGTCAAACAAACCATGGGATTTTGTGTAACATACAGAATATTCATTTATGATAAAAGTCTTCAAAATACAATTTTCTAAATGTCTTAAAATAGTATCAAAGTAGGCACATTTTATAAATTCTTACACAATTCTAAAACACATCTTCAAATTTACCTGAAAGTTAGGCCCGTATCACTTTAAAGAGCTATAAAAAAGTTTTATACAGTAAACATGTGCTATCTAAATCAAAGATGCCAAACTCAGTGAAGAAGTTAAACTGTGTGTGTTTATATTATTTGTACATTAGTATCTTATTCAGTTTTTTCATACTTGCCTATCTTCTTATACACACTGAAGTCGGGGGTTCAGAATTCTTTCAATTGCTACATGATTAACTTTTCCATGGGAATTTCCACATAAGAAATGATGCAATGAAAATCACTATATTTGATCGTGACATTGAGAAACTGTTAGCAACACATACCTACTCTGAAGTTAATTAAGAACATCCTGGATATGCTCTTTGAGGAGGTATTTCATAGTAATTCATAGGAAAAAAACGAGTTCAACTGAAAGCGTCCTACTAAATGGTTGAAATCTCAACTCTGTTCTTGTAAATTGTACCTCAGAAAAATCACAAGAGTATTGGGTCATGAAATGCAACTAATGAAGCCATTTAAATTATAGTTAGGAAAGTATTTGCAGCTTTCTCTTACCTGCAGTTACAGAAACATCACTGTACAATTAGCATATTATATCTAATACCTAAAATGTTTTGTCACAGGTGCATTGCCTTATTCTACATTATTTCATGTCTTACCTGTGGCCTGGTTCATGGCACAATACTCAGGAGATGAAACCTAGGCTTCATAGAACCTAGTTGGGTACCACTTTGTCCTGTGCCACCATTTTTGCACTGAATCAGAATGAAAAGTCTCGGGCAGTCGACAGCTTCATCACTGCTTCCAAGTTCAGGTTGGCTGGGCTCCCAAATCTCTTGGGGTGTGTTGGCTGCCAAAGCAAATTAGTCTCACTTTATCTTTGGGGCAGTGACTTTGCTAACTTTATTGACTGTGTGGGGCCTATAGGCCTTCCAACATAAGCAGAAGACATATTAACAAAAAATGTAGTTAAGATACTGATCCCCTTCACACCCAAAAATGGCACTAAGAATAATGGTGGAAAGAATAATTAGAAAAGCTATGAGGGAAGAAGAATCTAGTTAGAAAACATGAAAAAAGTCAGGGCTTAAACTATAGTTAAAAGTGGACAAAAGAGTAGGATAGAATTAATATAAGGAAACACTGACATTAGGCCTAAGTTCACAATCTGGCAAATACTAATGCTATTGGTGAAGCAAATGAAACAACAAATTATATCCAATACATACTATTAAATATGTATTTTTAAAACATGGTAGAGGGAGGAAAATAGAATGGAAGAAGCAATCAAATATGGAAATCATAGAAAAACTGAAGAGGCTTAAATAAGTCAACTAAAGAGTTCATGTAATACCATGTAATACCAACAGAAATATCCTGCCCAAATAAAAATGTTTTAGATAAGCTTCCAGTCCCTGCCTTCTGTCTCCCAAGTTAGTGAGAAAATTGGAGGTTTGTCTGGGTGTGTGTATGTGTGTGCATACTTATAAGAGAGCTCTTTTGATTATTTCAAATATGGAGTTTCTGAGAAATGGTGAAAAACATGCATTGTATCTCAAGTTGAAATGCTCCCAGAAATGGTTAACTGTGGACAGCTTTTCTCCCCTTTAGCAATGTTCCCTATAAATCTAGGGCAAAAGTTCAGAATGCCTGATCACCAGATATTCTTATTTGGTAGGTCTGTGATGGGGCCCAGGATAATTTCCTTTCTAAAAATACTCATCTCTAATAGCAAGAGAAGAGACTTTCTTATGTATCACTGCAGCTCCAGAACATTAAACAGCACTTGGCAAATGATAAATACCTAATAAATAGTTCATGAATGAATGAGTAAAAGAACTATTAATGATCAAATAAGTGAATGAAGTACACATGATTCTAATGTAAATTGTCCATGGACCAAGCTTTGTAAAACAGTGATCCAGAGTCTCTATTCTTCTTCTTTAATTTTGGAGAAGAGTGAAAAATATTATTTATTGCCATAACAGAGTGGTTAGGAGGTATGATTTACAACCTGTGGCATCTAGTTAATTGAGATAAATCTGGTTTACTACACCGTGTTTCAAAAATAATTGAATGCTATAGCAAAGATTTCTATAAAGATTTTTCCTTCCTCAGTGATGAAACATTTTTTTTCTTTCAGTTGGTAACTCAGACATTAGTGCTAAAGTTAACTGTATAGAGTATAAGCTTGCTTAACTCCATAATGATTCCTCACTGTCAATCTTTCATCTCCACAGTTATTATCATGGATTCTCTGAACTCCATGCCTATGTTGACAAGCAACAAAAATAAATTTAGTGAGAGTAAGCACAGATATGACAAGTTAATAGTATGCTTACTTATATGATCTGCTCCTGGTCACTGATCTCAAATATGTTTTTCCACTGTCAGTGAAAGGTTAGGAAATGAAGAGTTAAGCAATAGCAAGATCTTGGAAGGGACTCCCGAAGTTCTGAATGTGAGGACTTAATATTGTGTCCGATCTCCTTTGTGATTTAAGATACAGAGGATACCAAGTGTTCTGATTAGACTTACTTCTCAGTTGAGACAAACTTCAATAACACTGAACCCCCAAATGGACTCCTAGTACAAACAATATTGCTCTAGGAATTATTTTAACTGCAAAAGCAAGAATCATGCAACGGGACAACAATAAAGAAAAACTAGTTGATTTTCTATTTGTTGTAAATTTTCGACAGAAGGCCAGAAGTTAACATGTCAAAAGCAATCCCAAGCTCAGAGTTAGCTTATGTTCCTTCCCTCTTTTCATCCCTGCCCTTTCCTGCTTTGAAAATCATCCACAGGAATTGAGTGACTTGATTCATAACCACAAAACCAATGAACACATGGCATCCCATTAGAGATGAAATGTATCATTGGCAGGTATAATATGGAGTCAGGTTATCAGACTGTTACATTTTTCTTGAAAGTTTATTTCACAACAGGTAACCCCTTCAAATCAACTACAATTTTACTTTATGAATAATGACTCCATTTGTCTTAGTATTCTATTGTTTCAGTCGTCTCCAACCCATACTATTTTAAAAAGTACTCTTGTCCACTTATTTTCTGCTCTTTAGAGCATGTGTGTACAGATCTAACTAAAAAAAGAGAAAAGTACAAGACAGTAGCTACAAGGTGATTCAGAAATATGTTGGTTTGTTAAAAAAAATTAGTAGATAACTTCTACCAATAATTACTGAGTAACTTTCAGAAAGTCTTTTGGCTTTTATTACTGCTTTCTATTAGATCAAGCTCTTTCTTGTGCATACATTTATTTTATCTGGTAGAGCAATGCAATGCACTGTTCATACTGGGAATAACAAAACAGAGGTACTCTCAGCAGAAAAGGAGTGTGTAAGAAGCCAGTCCTCCTGTCATAGTGTAGTTGTGAGGCTATAAGCATTTTCATTAATTTAAAATTGAATAACGGTGTCAGTGTAAGCAGTGACAGCAGTGTGCTTTTGATGGGAGAGATGCTAAAAGAGTTTCGACTCAAAACAATTATGAAATGCTAAGTGAAGAATACCAATGCATACTTCCCCCGAAGGACTTAGGTCTTCATAATATTGTACTCATCTTCTATGTTTTCAGGTTCATGCTTAACTGATCAACACGTTGATGGGTTAGTTTCTTCCTGACACTTCTATCTTACTCCTTCACGCTTCCATTCTAAGACACTGTTTCTTGGATAACACATACTTAAACTATTTTCCTTAGGTTTTCAACTGCCTGTTTCTACTACATATAAAAGAAAAATTCATTTAGTATAAATACTTGCATTTATTTAAAGATCTATTTGGCCCTCTGGGCTCTTAGAGTCAAGGAAATTACTTCAGTCATTTCATGAAAACAATTAAGATCATAGTAATCTTTATTTCATAGGAAATAGGAAGTCGCTATAAGGTTATAGGCTGATGCTTATAGCTGAGGAAGAATATTTTAGAAGCAACGTAGACTACAAACTGACTAGAATTTTTTAAATATATAAAACTATTTTTTAAAGTAAGGAGTGTTCAAACTAATAAGATTGCAAAAAATTAGATAATAGATATTGAGAGATACTAATATTGAGAGCTACTGGGCTGGTAGTAGTAAGGCTTGGTAACTGATTGTATCAATAGGGCAACATAATAGAAAAAACCAAGAGTAATAATTAAATTTCATTTCTGTTTCCTTGGGATAATGATAGCACTACTAACAAAAATGATGAAATTAAGGGAAAGGAATGAATTGATGATTTTTTAAAAAGATGATTTTGTTTAAAACATGTGAAATTTGAGGTATTTCTAGAGACACCATACAAAAATATCTTCATCCCAAGCGTTTTTCACTCAGCTCCAGATCCAAGTACCTTCCTGACATTTCTTCTCTAGTGTCCTAGAATTACAGGTAACTCAACGTGAGCAAAACCTTACTCATGTTCTCCTCCTGGTTCTCTCCCATGGTTTTAATTCAGAGATGGCAAGTTAGAAAGAGGGTTGCCAGATATAGCAAATAAATTTGAACTTCAGATAAATAACAAATAATATCTTATTATACATATGTCCCAAATATTGCATGGGACATACTTATACCAAAAAAAAATTCATTGTTTATCTGAAATTCCTATATAACTGGACTTATTTATTCTGGCATCCCTATTTGGAAGTCAGGATTTTATCACTGAACCTTCTTCCACTTTCTCGCACCACCCTTCCTACATCAATCCATCACCTAGTCCTGATGGTTTAACCCCCCAACTATTTTTTGACTCATCCATCAAGTTCCCCTTTGGTATCACCACACAGCAGAGTAAGCCACCATGAGCCTTCAACTAGGCCAACTCAGTAGGTTCTCTTCTACCTCTCTGCCCTCTGTCAAGTCTTTTCTCCAATCTACACCTAGTGTCATATTTTAAAAATTAATATGTCTGTCATAACATACCACCCCTCAGACTGCTTGAAAATTTGCTCTTAGGATAAAGATAAAATATTTTGTCACAGCTTACAAAGGCCAGTAAGATCCGACCTCTCCTGACTAGCTTCATCTCACACGTGCTCAAGCCACACTGGCCTTTTTCAGAGACAAACAAACAAGGACATTTCCACAAAAGTCTTTAACCTGATTTTCCCATGGTCTGGAACACTCATATCTCTCCTCACGTAGTTGATGTCCACTGTCAGTGTTTACATGTCTTTAAACATCGGGTTAAGGATCACTTCTCACAGCAGCTTTCCCTAGATCAGATCTTCTTATTACAGGCTCTCAAGGCATTCTCACTTATAATCTTTGTCACAGATTTAATTTTACACTGATTTGTGTGATTATTTGAATTTCGATTTTCTTACAAGAACTTAGGCACCATGATAACAATGACCATGCTGGTTTTTCCTCACATGAGTATCTCCAGAATAAGCCTGGTGTAGGATATATAAATAGTTACCACTGAATAAATATTATTCAGTGGTAACTATTTATATATCCTACACCAGGCTTATTCTGAAATTGACTGAATAATGTCCAGTAGACATTTGGAAAAAAAGGAGTTAGCATTGACAAGGTGGGCTAGGGAGAGATTTGCAATGGTTGATTCCATAAGACTTTATAAGATTTCATTAGAATTAGTAAAAAGAGAAGAGGAAAGGTTGATTATTTAATCATGAAGATTATCTATATTCAGGAATCAGGTAACTGGTTAAGAACTATGAAGGGAAAACAGAAAAGGGAATAATCAGAATAAGGAAACAAAAGGGTAAAGTAGGGGTTGATCAGCATTTTCAAACACTGCAGAGAGGAAAAAGAAAAATGAAGAAGAGCTGGTACTTAATGTATCAGTGAGGAGGTTACTGGAGATCTTGGATAAAG